TGCAACCACAGCCACTGCTGCTGCTGCTGTGGCCACTGAGACTGCTGGAGCATCTGGTTAGGCGGGCCAGGTTTGGCGTGGAGAACTTGGCCATCTTGGAGCTGCCGTTGTTGGCACCACTGCCTCCAGCCTCCTCCTGGCTGCTATCCCACAGCCTCCTGGGCATGGATGTACATTGCACTGAGTCCAACTCTTGTTCTGTCTTGACCACAAGGGGCAGTGGTGAGCTACAGGCTGGCCAGCCCAATGTCTGTGCTGAGCTACAGGAAGCTCTGGGGATGGGGCCTCCTCTGGGAGCAGGCCCCAGGAGTTGTATCTTGGAGAGCTAACTTTGAGAACTCAGTGCCTTTCTCCATGATCTCCTGGATCTGCAGGCTGTGTAGATGAGCAGGAACTGGTCCTCCATGCTCCGCCGGCCCGTATAGCAAACTGAGGATCTGCTGGAATGACTGGCTGCACAGTGGCCGGCAGCTCTACTACAGCACTGCGGCTGGTGTTGAGAAGGTCCAGGAAGAAGGAGCTGCTGGCGGCCACACAGCACAGTGGGCTTTGAAGGCATGGCCCTTAACCACCACTGACAAGTCACAGGATAGTCCCTGTAGCCACTGCTCATTGGTACACTCAAGGATGCTGCTGCCAAGGTCTGGAACCTTCACCTGCAGGGCCTGCACCATGGCAGCACCTGGTATCCCCTGGTTTTAGTTTACCTCCCACATCTCTCCTCTTTCATCATCTTAAAACTTGTGTGACTGTAATGCTAACCTCAGGGTCTGTCAGTGACGATTAAATCAATTAGTGAGTGTGCAGCACTGTTTCTTAACCAGTGCTTTGTCGGGGTCTGATCAGTAGCGGTAAGTTAGGCAGCCAACCAGAGCCTACTAAGTAAGAGGCAAAGTGGCTTTTGTGATTCTTTAATAAGTTGGGCCTCATTTGCACAAAAAGACACATTGATACTTTTGTCACTATCTCCTTGTAAGTTGGAAAAGCAATTCAGTTAGTCTGGCCGCTCCCGTCATGCCCTTACGTATGGGACCCTGGGTATGACATGCTTGAATAGTCTGTCTGAATCCTGCAGTCCACAATCACAGCTGGGAAGGGCTGAGTGGATGGTGGCAACCGGTTCAGATAGGCGCTTGCCTATGGTTTCATGTAGAACCAGCGCTCCCCCAGGCTCTGCCAGAAGAGCAACCCTGGCAAACAGAGGGAGAGACAGGCTGTGGGGCTGGGGACCAAGGTGGTTGCTATGGTGCTTCTTGTTAGAATGTTTTCAGGCACAAATCTCAAAATCCGCACCCCTGACCCACACCCCTTCAGCCCGCACCCCCCTGGCCCACACCCGAGAGTTATTTTGAACCACTGAAGGTCAGGAAGGAGCCCACCTGGCACTTCAGTGATGTCAGCAGCCATTCCCCTGTCTCTTCTCTTGCTGCTCAGTCTCACCACAGACCTGTGGCCACCTGGATCATCTGGCTGACTTCTTCAAGTCTGCTCCTCTTGGATGACAATCTGGAAGCTACTAGAGACTTGAAGAAGTCAGCTTAGTAGTTTATAAGTAAAAGGTAACTGTAGGATGCACCAAACGTTTCTCATCCTTTGAAAATGTAACTATGACAGAAAGGAGTAGCAGTTCATGGAGAAAGGTGAGGTCAAATGAAAGGGTTGTCTTGGAAACCTCCTGTCTTCAGTCATCTCATTTATATATGGCATGGTGTGCTCCACAGTGATGGAAGCTTAAGAGTCCCTGTGACTGTTATTCAACTCTGTCCCCATTTCATAATCTGCCCAATCTTGAAGAAATTATCTCATTTCCCTAAGCCTGGGTGCCCTTGTCTGTGGAGTGAGGTGGACTGTTCTCGCCTCGTGAGGTTGTTATGGGGATCAAATGACATAGTGTACAGGAAACAGTGAGCAGGTGCCAGGACAATGAATGGTGGTAAAGTGAAAGAGACAGGCTTGGGGACATAGTCTCATGGCAGGTCAGGTGACTGTGGTGACAGCAGTCAGCAGTGGAAGTCTAGGCCGATCGACTCTCCACTGTTCTGTCTTGTTCTCACGCTCCTGCTGGACCCCTTCTCCCAAGCCTTCTTGTTCACTTCCTTTTGTGTGACCCACCTGAGCTTATTGGGATTATTTGCACGAGCATGGAGATTATTTACTGGGTGATGACCAGCTTGCCACTGTCTACGCCACTGAAGATGATGCTCTCCCCACTGAGCAACCATTAGCAACTAATAGCTCTTCAGGGAGCAGTGAGGCCTCGTGAGCTCCGCCCCCCTCTCTGACAGACTGTTGATGGTGGCTGGCTTTTTGTAGTGTAGGTTCTGGGGATTGAACTCACGTCCCTCAAGCTTGTAAGGCAAGTATTTTACCGACAAAGCCATCTCTCAACCCTTAATTTTATATTTTCAAAGAAATCCTTGCAGAGTTCTTATGAAACTGCGAGTTAAAGAAAGCAAGCATTGGCTGACTCTCATTACCTAAGTCTCAGCGGCCAGGTTTAATGCTCTATGCTGTTGGAACGGCTTGGGCCGTGGAAGTCTAGGCTTGTGTATTTTAAGCAAGAGATGTATATTAGGGTTCTCTAAAGAAACAAAACCAATAAAAAATATATATACATATACACATATATGTATATAGATACATATACACATATATGTTAAATATATACATACATAATTATAATGGCTTAAAGGCTGTGATCCAGCTCGTGTAACAGTGGCTGTCTTCTGGCAGGAAGGCCAGGGGTACGATAGTTGTTCAGTCCACAAGGCTGGCTGTTTCAGCAGTCCTAATCTGCTGCTGGAGTCCTGGTCTTCAGTCCGTGTTGGCATCCAGATGAATTAGGTTGTAGCAGCAGTGAAGGAATGCCTGCTTGGCTCCAGGATGAGGAATTGCCACTGAGAGTAAGGGCGAGCATACACAAAGCAAGTTTCCTTTTTCCTTTTGTATGGGCTGCCACCAGAAGGTGTGAGCAGGTGGGTGTTCCCACCTCAAATGATCTGATCAAGAGAGTCCCCCACAGAGGTGTCCAGCTGCTTGGGCTTTAGTTGATTCCAGATGTGCTCAGGTTGACAACCATAGTGACAGGTTAGAGTAGTGAAGGTGATCTATTACCCAAAGAGAGACAATAAGTTATTCTGAATGAGTGGAAGAGCATGGACAACAAATCTGAGATATTTTCTCTTTTATATAGTTACTAGATTTTTTTTACTGTTTATTTTTATTATTTATTATGTGCCTGTGTGGGAGTACGTGCACAAGAGTGTAGGTCCCCTCAGGGCCACAGGTGTCAACCCCTCCCCTGGATCTTAGTTACAGAGGGTTATGAGCCACCCAGTATGGGTGTTTGGGTAAAATAAGGTCCTAGCCGAGGCCAGTGTTTGCCCACTATTAACTGCTGAGCTGTCTCTTCAGCTCCAAATTTTCTTCTGGTGATTTCAGCCAGGGCTTCTTATGCTGCCTGTAAGGGAGGACTCCTAGAGGAGCCAGCTGGGACCCGGATGTTCATCCCTCAGTCTACCCTGGGCAGCCAGAAAGGCCTGGCTTTCTCAAGTCCTCAGTGCTGTCCCCCACTTTCCCCAGCACTGCACAGACAGGACCTTTTTCCTCTGTAGAAAGGCAGGAAGTGGGGCTGTGGATGCTGGGAGAGACTGCTTGCTTCCTGCTCCCACGATGGAGATGAAAGTTAGTAGAAATTCTCATAGGCAATTTCCTGATTGACTTTGACCTTGACAATGAAGATACACAGCAGATAAACTAACAGCAAGACAGGAGCCTGCCCTACCTGAAGCTCAGACCCTAAAAATGTTGTCAACCTTCAGTCACAGAAGGTTTCAACAAAGCGCCCAGGCTGAGGATGTGACGCTGAGGGTAGGGGCTAGCAGAGAGAATGTGGTGGGCCTTGGGCTTAGCATGCCCAGGCCCAAGGCTAAGCAAGGCTTAGCATGTCCC